AAATAGTGCAAAAGCATAAAAATAGTGTAAAAGCAGAGATCGTGTAATGTAAATCCAACAAGACGACTTTAGATGCATGTATTGAGAAGATGCAATTGCATGTCATGAGAAATGTTTTTCTATTTCTGCTAGCTAGTCAAAACGATGCTTGCTCAACATATAACATCAGAGGCTTAACTAGAACGTTAATTGGGGAAGGGGGGCATATTATATATTCCGCCTTGCCTAACTGATTTCTCATGAAAGTGATTTGAGTTTCAAAGAAATCGGCAGGGCACAACGGAATATATGAATATACACACCCAGTTAACGTTCTAGTTACGCCTCTGTATAACATATTCAAGTGTTGTTCTTTTATACAAATAGAAAGTTTGTAAGATGAAAGGCAAACATCGATAGAAAGAAAACTCAAATCATTTCTATAAATTTACATTTATTTTCTCAACAACGAACTCAGGCCTGCATTATAGCTAATACTGGATTACACTTAAAATGCATGCCACTACAGTTCATGATGACGCTATTTGCACCTGGATATTGTTAGTACTACTCTTTCATATGTAATGATTAATTTGCTAGAGTAATTGTTTATGCTGCTTTGTGTCTCATGTTTTCAGTTTGGGCTGAGAAACATTTTGACAAATTTTGGCCAAACTGGATGGATGGAATAAATGAATCATTTAGAAAAGACATTTTGAATATTGGTAATTATACAATGAGATGTTTTTGTCTATTTTTATTATTCAGCAATGTAACAAAATATTGACGAGGCATGCAAGTGAAAACAACCTTATTTCATTGGGTGAGAATCTATGTCTTGAGAATGAAATCAACATTATAAACTGTTGGTAACAATAATTTACCTTTTTTTAATCAGGAAAATACTACGACGAAACAACAAGTGTTGTCAGTGACCAGCTTTACACTTGGTTATCAAAAGCAAATAGTGTAGATGATCAAGTTAATGCTTGGGATCGTTAGATTAAAATTTGGAGTCAGTTCACGGTAGAAAATTTTCTTGAAAGTACTATCAGTGTAATTAAAGCTAAAGTTTCTATTCAAGATCAGGAAGACTTGGATTTAGTCAAGCTTGAAAGCCTGGTTGCCGTATCTAAGACGCTTTTCTGTAGGCTTTTCTGCGTGTGATCTTGACCAATCACTTGAACACTATCTTTCGTTTCCATTGGGAAAATGGCATTCTACTGAAATGCATTGTTTGAAAGGTGGCATGCACAATTTGCCAAAATCGTTTTTCAACAGTGGAATATTAAGTACAGATGACATAGAATACAAGAAGCAAGTATATGAAATAAATTACTGGTGTAGAGATGATTGTCCGCTAAAAGATTTTAAAGAGGTGTCGTTCTATTCAAATAGTGGTACACCAACTGTTTATAAAGGAAAGGTAAGCTTAGTAAACCGAAATTAATTTAGTCGGAAATGTTTGCTTAACCTTTTACTTTGCGAACTTGTTCAGTAATTGTTCAACTACTACACTGCCGAAAGGTTTATTAAAAAAAACTTGCCCACAGCGAGACATCCGCGTCTTTAGTGGATTGCAATCTGTGTTATGTGCATTAGACTGGGTAACGCATCTCTCGTGGAATTAAAGCGGGAAGTTCGATCATTTGCTGTTGACTTAATAGGGGGTGTCGTTCCTACTTTACCATCCTTTCGTATTACAAATTCACATTTTTTGCTTTCTTATATTTTAAAAACTTCTGATTTGGACAAAGTTTTAATGAAATGTACAGGAAAACCGGTGGAGAGTTTTAACACTAATGCTGTATTATCTGTGCTTTTGTAATGACTGAGAAATGAGATAGCATGTTGTATCGTCATATAAAAGTTGAAGTTGACAAAGCCAATTTCTGTTCCGCGAGGCATTTTTCGAAGATGAATTCTCAGTCTACAACAAAGTATCAACAAACGATTCATATCTTCAATATATTCATCTATAGTGTAGATGTTCATAAAGGAACTGGTTAAAGACTTTGCTTCACTAATGAAAAACAGAAGTTTTGCATATTTCTATGATGTATATCTTGTAAATTTTGATGATATAGTTTTCAATTTACTGATGAATATCAAAACATCTTTCTGATTAGTTGTCTATGTTGATTTGTTTTGTTATTCTACAGAATAAACAAATAAAGGCGTAGTTTGAAATTACAAACATTTTAAGTTTAAATTTCCCAAATGTTTCAAGCAAATGTTTGTAATCTTCCATGAACGTCTAGATGCTTTTGAGACTAAGTGAAAATATTTCTTATTTTTATAAACAAAAATAATCGCGTTTTAAATTGCTCGACGTGGCTGGTTGAGAGGAAACTTAATCCTATTTTATTAAGTGTACTCTCTCTGAATAGTAAAATTCACTTTTGCTATGATGAGTATCACCTAAATACATTTTGCTTTCTCTTCAAACTATTTACACCGTACTTAAATAAATTTAAAAAATTTGATTTTCTAAGCAAATCTTTTGCTAGAAATGACTCGTCGACTACGGTCATAATATCGTAAAAAGCCGCCGCTGCTGCAGCCAATAAGAATGCAGGAAATCAAAAACTGTCCTTCGCATGCATAAATAAAAATCGAAGTAAAATATTTCTGGACGTTTTTGTGAAAGCTTTAAAAATCTGTTGATAATGGTAGTTTTGAATTTTTTCATGTTTGTTTACGACATATTCAAAGATGGCCTAGGAATTACAATATCGACTTATTTTTCTAAATGTCACCTTGTTTTAGAGTTTTATAAATTTATGTAGAAGAGGAGAAGGTGTATATGAAATTTTTTTTAAAATGTAATGTATTTAAGAAAAGAAAGATTTATCCCGTGTTTGCACAGGCTGATGAAAACCGAGGAGACCCTTCAGAGAAATCAAGAGCAGATCAATGCAAGCCCCAGACGAAAGGTCCAGGCCCGCACCTACTCCAGAGTTCGTATAAACGTCTCCGAGGTTTGCATAAGACTGTGCAAACACAAAAAACATCTTTTATTTTTTTTACAAAATAAAAGTAATGGAAAACATTTGAAAAAAGCATTAATTTGCAAATTCTTATTGATTGATTGATTGATTTTGTTGGTTGAGCTCAAATTGGTTTTTACAGGCTAATGCAAACACAGCAATAGACCAATCAGCGCATGCCTTTATTTTTCTGTATAAAAATAAAAGTTTCTCCGGATTGTATATAAAATGATTTTATTGAGCTTTCAACTAGGTGCTTCGAGCCTTCATCAGAAAGGTATAGGAAGTTATATACTGTTCTTTTTCATATGTAGACGCTTAGAGCGTCTAATTGAATTAGCGGGTGGATTAATGTGATTGGATGGTGTGGAATGCGTTGTCATGGGTATTGTGAATATGACTAGTGTTATTATTATTATTAGGTTTGAGTTTTTGTGTAGGTTTGGGAGTGACGTTAATATTAAATGTTCGAAGAATTCTGGCAGTCATTTCAGATGTTCCGTTTATGTATGGTAATGTGACGATTTTTACTGTTTCGTCTGGTTTCTTGTTGCTTTTGTCGGTTTGTGTTTTGTTTTGTATTTTGTTTATAGTTTTGTTTATAAAGTTTCTAGGGTAATTGTTTTTAATAAATGTGGAGTATGTAGTTGCGTTCTGTTTTCTTGGCTTCTTCGGTATTACAATGAGAGTTTATCCTGTTGAAAAGTGTTCGAATGCAGCTTATTTTGTGTTGTGTTGGATGATTGCTTGGGCTATCACCTGTAGCCAATCTTATTAATGTGATTGCTAGTCTTTCAGCATGTCCAACTGCTTGCCTCATTTGAGTATCTTGCCTACGAAGAGATGGACCAACCAAAGCCAGCAGCTCACCAAATATTTGAGGGCTCATGCGAAAATACAGATTAAACTGCTCCTCGTCGGTTCTTAGTTCTTGAACCAAGTGCAGAAAATCTCCTTGTACTCTCCTTTGCCTGTTTATTGACGAGCCCATCATCTTTTCATTTTATTATTTTTTCCCGTTTTTCAACCTCTTCCAGCTCGTACAATATGCAAACAGATGCTAGTGACTTAGCCTGATGACTAGACGCCATGTTGATAGTCGCAATGTGGTCGCCAAACTCGTTTTTGCATGTGTGTTTCTGACGTTCAAGCGGCTAACGCGCGGTCATCAATTCCCTTTAGTCCCGCGACCAAGGCGACTGCACAGTGTGTTTCAGTGTGTTGTAGTATTATGTTAGCGAGTATGGGGCCTAAGCAGGAGTACATTGAAACCCCCATCGGTTTGTTTAAAAATTTCATTGTCGAAAGAAAAAGCGCTTTTAATGCAACAGTCAATAATAAGTTTTTTAAGAGTTCTTTTCTCAAGTTTAGTTAAAATTTGATTTTCTCAAAAATTTCTTTCCAAAATTATTTTTATTGTTCTGTTCAAAGGCACGTTGGTAAATAAAGATTCGACGTCAAACGAAACGAATTGATAGCCTTCAATAAATTTTTAGGAATAATGTGGATAGAGTTTACGGCAACAAACGAATCGGTAAGAGTAAATTCATTAAATGGGTTATAGTGTGGTATGTTAGTACCACCCAATTCACACTTCCACGCTTCTGTTGGAATGATGTAACATTCATATCAGTAGAGCGTCAGTTCTCTTGTAAATATAGTCTTGACGATAAACCTGTAACAAATTCAAAGTACAACTATTCAAATAAAAAATTGTCTTGTTTCCTTCCCAAATATTGAGTTAAAAATGAACTTTTTGTTCGGAGTAAGCTTTATTTTTTTTATTATATCGTTACTTATTCAATTACGTTACTACGTCGTTTAATGATCTGAAGCTAGCAAAAAAGTATTAAAAACTCTATTTCATACCAATTGCTAAAGTTGGTCTAGTTGCATCGACTACACTAACAAAATCCGCTTTACTTTTTGCTTTACTTACCTGTCTCTATCCCGACCTTCACGGTCTCGACCCTTACGGTCCCGAAACTCACGGTCCCGACCCCCGCGATCCCGACCATCACGATCCCGAACCTTACGATCCCTTTCTCGGCGACGATCATGTCTATCGCGATCTCTATCACGGCAACGGTCTCGTTCACGATCACGCCTTGAACGGTCACGATATTCACCACCACGATCACGTTCATCTCAATCGCGATCCCTAAAAAAATAGTAAAATCCATTTTCAGGTCAATTTTAGGGGCTGTCTCATCCAACATGCAGGCATGAGTAGGCAGGGTCTTTCAATTCCAGAAGATTGCTTCAGAGTAAAAAGTGAAGTCTTGAGACATATGAAATGTTTATTGTCATTAAAATGAACTTCGCTTTATACCAACCCGAGCATTCGTGCAAATGTTTTTCAACACCAATAAAAATGCTACAAACTGTGATTGCTCAGACAAAACCTGGAAATTTGACAATAATATAACTTGAATTTAAAATATTCGGGACTGCTGGTTTTTAGTTTTCCTAAGGTTCCGTACAAGTTGCACATGTTGAAATGCAAATGTCAATACTTGTCTACTTAAAATTTTAATGAAATGAAACACGTGGTTTTTATAATAATTGCATAGTACAAACATTGAAAAGCGTCAAGTGAAAATTTTAACGGTTAAAAAAATTCTTTCCTTTAGAAAACCTCATTAACCGACCAGTAACTTTAAAAACCAGCCTGAAGTAAAGACTGCAAAATCCATAGAGCAATGGAAAGTTGGAGCAATCTAATTGCGCCAGAATAAAAGTTCCACATACGCTCTGACTGGTGAACCCTTGTAAACCAAGCACATAATCAATGCTACTTCGCGAGTGTAAAATGGTAGCTATTAAACAGCCGATAAATTCCGTTCTAGATCGCAATTTTAAATGCCCAAGAGGAATTTGAAGAAAAGTGTTGCTTTATATGAATCTTTGCTTTTATATTTATTTACTCAAAAACGTAGCTCACCAAAGGCTTCAAACAAAGTGCAAATTTCTCAATCCTTTTGTTTACATTTTCGCGTTTTGCGAGTTCTGATTGGCTAATTTTTAAAACGTAAACTAACCTATGATTGGCTCAGAACGAAACTCCCCCTTGTTCGTATATTGTAAACGTTTGGTAATATTCTTCAAAAATCGATGCAATTTGCAATTAAGGTCTAAACGACAGTTAAGATCTTAAATCTAAATGACAGTTATTACATTTGTCGCCCCGCATAAACAAAAGAAATTTTTGAGTACTCGACACAATTGGAACATTAATTTAAACAAACAGAACATCCGTAACATCGGCGAATTTTCAGACTGACGGATCCGACTGTCGAAAGCTCGCTTTGTACGTGCTCACACGATCCATTTTTTGTGATCCGACTAATCCGATAGTGTGAACGACGGGCCTTAATGCGGGGAAAAAATCACTTGATCACGTTACATCATGGTTAACTATGGGATTAATCTTTTGCTGAACAATAATTTTCAAACCACAATAAAAATAGCACTAAAACAAGTAACTGAGTTACGATTATGGCAAATCATTTACAGCTAACGAACATTCATCATACCTGTCAAAATTTTCGACGCGGCCAGAATGCTTTATGTTTGCTTCAGGAGCACCATTTCGTGTGCCACCTAGCCCTCCACCTTGATAGAAAGTCAGAAAGACGTAACTTATAGTACAAAAAATATGAAATTGAAATATACCAAGTGTGTAGCAGCAGTCCTCCCTTTCTAGCCCATAAAAAAGAACTCACGAACTTATATGAGCCCAGGGCTAACAGATAAAAATTTAGGATACTAAAAATACACGTTCCTACTTATGGCTTGAAATCCTTCCCAAAATTTAGGATTGACATTGATTGATTATTTCCTAAAACTTAGATTGATACCCCAATTATTTTACATTTTGTTCGCAGTGACAGTTTCCTTCCACTCGTTGATAAATAAAACTTTTTTCGAAAATCACCATCTTATTTACCTAAACGTCGAGGTTTCCAGTTCTTCACTGTTCTTCCTCTTTCCACATCAACTACTATACGCCTGCCGTCAATCTTCTTACCGTCAGCATGTTTAAAAGCGGCTACAATGGTACGAAACAACTAAGGACTAACTCAAACAAACACCAAAAAAACCAAACAACTGCCTAGTACATAGCTTATAAGGTAGGCAGGTGGATACACCGAGACCAGAAATCGACAACACTTGAAGATACACCGACCAATCAACCTTACCCCATATTTGCTTACTGTAGCGAAAAATATTGGTAGCAAACATCGAGAAACAGCTTTGTATGATTTATTTCAGTCGAGGTTTGCATCACGTAGGCTGGACGGTAAAAATAGGTACGAATGCGTACATGTGGGTAGCCTATCAAGTGCATGGCTAGTAAATGAAGTAGATTTAATGAAAATAGTTCAAATAAGATTGCATATTTAATACTATTTAAATAAAACTTGTTCATGATTTGGAAATGTTTTATAGTTACATGACCCATATATTTATTTAACTCTTTCTGCTTTTTTACAATATTTTAAGAGTAAATAATTTTTCTTTGTTTTAAAAGCATTCGAATGTAATACGAGCCTATACCCACCAAAATACCCACCAGTTAAAATGAAACATTTTAAATGATCAAGTAGTGTTAGCCATGACATAGGAGCGAGCAATCGTCTGTTGCCATTCACTTGGCAATATCGACTGTATTTGCACTGAAATGATTTAATAATAGCAGCATATTACTTTGATTGCATTGGAATTGAAAGTGTTGGAAACACCACCGGAAAAAAATGGTGGTAGATATCGATGGCATTGCAGTGAGAAAATTATTAAAAACGTGATAAAAAAATCGGATTTTGTTCCAACAACAACATCGTACTAACCAGGCTGTGTTCAACGACTTACCATTACAGACAACTTACCACAACACGGTCATTTAGAAAAATAAACGATTTCGAAACTTTGCGCTCATTAAAGAACTAAAATTGTTAATTACAAAACAAATGGTAGAACTTGTAATGGTAGAACTTACTATGCATGTCCCTTTCATGTTCAAACTCGACAAAACAATAACCACGAGGTTTTCCTGTGGTAGAATTGGTCACCATTTGAATCTACATGCGGAGAAGATACAGACAATCATAAAATCACTCAAAGTTCTTATCCTTGAAGACAACTTATTGCTTTCAATAAGCCAAAAATACTTCCTTATAAAACGTCATGTCCTAAAAACAAGTTGACCATATTTTATAAATCGAAAATTTGATCTTCGTGCATTTTTTAGAGCTCAAAGTCGGTGATGATTTGCCTGACCTTAACATCAAAAAAACTAGGGCGAATGTCTAGATCTGACGTCATATCGGGAACCCGTTTTAAGAAAACACTGTATTTTACACATAATTTCCTCAAAAGCATAGCTATATTGTTGCATTTGCCACGTGTATGACATCTTGTGTCGTGGATGTTCAAATACATCCAATTTTAAACAAAACGCATCAGATGAATTCCCGATGTGACGTCAAAAATAACATTAGTTGCCAGTTTTTTTATTCTGGCGGTCAAATAATGAAAATGGTCAATTTTTCAACTTGGAGTGCGAAAATATCCAGCAAAATCATATTTGCCAACTATAAAATATATTACAAAAATGTTTCAAGCTGTAAAGTTGTTACCATGCATCGCACGACTGGAGTACTTGGAAAGACGTAAAAATAAGGTAGGTCAAAATGACCGGTAACGTAAACAAACCGGTCAACAAGCTTTTTGGGGCGGTCATTGCCGTTGACCGACCGTTATAGTGAGCTCTCGATAACCTTAACTATACATACGGTGGGTGTAAATAACTAAAAAAACCTGGTTACATACGGTATGCATTTAACGAATAATTAAAACAATTAACAATGTACTCATCTAATTAAGGGGCTGTTCATATGAGCCCGGCTACACGGGATTCATCGAGGCGTTAATTGATTTTGAGGCATTGAAAGGAAGCAAAACTTCAAGCTTAAAGATTACAGCTGTTTGCTAAGTGCCACAAGCCATTCCTGTTGAAATTCTTAAATTAGGCCAAACTGGTTGTTTCAATTTTAACTGTTTTGAATACTTATTAAATCAAAATATAGTGAAGTTGCTCTAGAAGATTTATCTAATGATATGTAAGAATAGAATTGTTTCCATTTGCCAAAATCAATTAACGCCTCACTGAATCCCAGTTAGCTGGGCTCGTATGAACAGCCCCGAAGCAATGCTCAACTCCTATTCCTAAAAAATATTGCTTACCAGTCTTCCAACAAATAAAGTTTTAAATGCATCGGAGCCATCAGTGTGAGGATCCCCTAAAATAATTAAAATAAATATCATACAGCGCGTAAATTTCACAGTTTTTATGATGTTGAGTTTTGTCTCCTCTTAGTGGAGTACAAACCACTAAAACACTAGTGACTGTGTCCATCTTTCGTGGAGTGTTAAGAGTCAGTGGCAAATGATTTTGTTGCGTTGACTGACAAATTTTGGTATTAATACAGCTTATTCCTGTTTTAGTTGACTTAAAGGCAATATAGTTAGGCTTTTTTTTAAATTATATTGGTACAAAAATACAGGTATGTTCACAACGCACTTCATTTTGTCAATGTTAAAGGTTCGGTGCTAAGTTCTAGTGCAAAGTAAACATCACATAAGATTTATTTAATCACTACTCTTCACCAACAGCCTGCAACATAAAATAAAACAATTTAGAACATTTATAACAATTTAGGATCAACTTACATTCTTCTGCAGCTTTCTCCAAATCCGCTTTCTTTAATTCTTTCACATTTCTATTTTCAAAAAATACAACATGTAAGCTGCAGCTCTAGTTAAATATTTTACCATCAGCCACCACCATCATGTATTGTATACTAGATATATATATATATTATGTTATAAAATAACAACTGTTTATTCTGACAACTGATCCTCTCACAAGTTTATTGAACTTCTTTAAAAGTTGTAATGAGAACAGTGGTGGATCCAGCCTTTATCTTACCCCTTCATACCATTTTGATACTGACATGAATATATTAATACTAATTAAAGTTCAAATTTTTCTGAAATGTAAGCAAAGCTCAATACAACTTTTGCCCTATCTCAAAATCATAAGTCATAATATTGTTAAATAACTCAAAATGAAAATGTATTTTAAGATAAACTCTGCATCTTCAAGACTTTTAAGAACTTGAAATAAAATGCAAATAGGTCTAATTACTAGCAGAGACATATTACAGAGAAAAGTAAACTTTATAAAGAAAACGTTGTGCCATGACAAATTAAAATGTAATGAGTACTATTAAAGCTGTGTATTTGATCTTTGTTTTTAATCCAGAGGGATATAAACTTCAGCTCTAAAATTGCAGTGAAATGCATTTACATTTTATAATTTCCTATTCAACAATGTGATCAGCTCAGCACCCGCTTTAACATTCTCAATTTAGAATTCAGCTCTTTAGGGATAGTGCCCTACATATAGGCCAAAAGCAGGAATATTTTGAACCGGTAAGGTTTTTCAAGCACTGTTACAACCATTTTTTCATTTAGTGCACTAAAATATCCTTATAATACAGACTTTGAGTTGGAACAATGATTTGTATTGAGTGCGATGTGTTTATTTTCAACTTTTGACCTGACAGACCAGTCTATAGAAATTGACCAATGACGGTTTTCTTTGCTCTTTTGTTGACCAACTGTATTAAAGGAAAGTTTGCAAGCTAACCTACAGATCAGTCAAAGCACACACTAAAGTTGCCTGCCTGCAGACTGGTCAAAATCAATGACTGGCCAATTGAAAACATATTTTCGAGCTTTGAAGATTGCCGACAGGTCATACATTCATACAGAAACTACTGACCTCGCTGCTGAATACACCAAAGTAATGCTTGCTCCATTAGTCTTGCAGTAATGCGTAATATTATCGGATTTCGTATGAAAATGTTTTTTGAACGTAGGTAGTGATAATCTATATTTGCGTTGATTTTGAAATATGGAACTTACCAATTTAACAAATTTTCACCTACTTCACTTGACTGGTTTGATGTACCAACTTAAAATTTACCACCCTGAAACCAAAAACATACCTTTCTTTCTATTTTTTCAACTCTAGTTTCTGCACGAGTTGGAGAAGGTGTATCTTCAGGATCCTATGAAAAATAAGTAGAGTCGATTTACTGATAGCACCTGCAAACTTTTTGAAGTGATTCAGTTTTTTATAGATACCACATTGGCAATGTACCTTATACACAACCACATGTCAGTTGCTGAGGAATATGAAAATCAATGTCTCTTAGTTGGGGATTAATGTTGCTCAAAAGTTTTGCATATTCATTCAACACTTGAAAATTAGAAAAAACTACAAGGTTTAACTAAATACATCTATCACTTCGAGATAAGCACTAGAATTGCTGAGCTTGGGCAGTTTTCAATGCAAGAAATGTGTGTGCATATAACCTTGAAATTTTAAAAAATGTTATTGACTTTATTCTAAATAAAGTAAAAGTTCTACTTGAATTCTCCAAAATTATGAAAAAACCAAAATTCCCAAAAATCATTAGAAAAATAATATATGTATAATTAAAAGCATTAATATGTTAGCATTTCTTTGTATAAAAAAATCTTATTAAAATCACGCAAAAGCGAGCAAATCCAATTAAACACAATAGAAAAAGAAAGTTCATCAATTGATTAAATTAGACCTTTCCATTCAATTACTTTACAAATGAAATCAAAATTCACATTCTGTGTACTCAAACAGATAGGGAATAAGAATAACTTGTTAAGTTCAACTTAATGTAGCTGTCTACTTATATCATCTGGATTTATGACTGATTTAAAAACAATGAGGTACAATAAACAATAGCTATTATACGACTTTAAAAAAATCAGAAAACCCAATCATATGAGATATGTACTTGCTGTCAACTTGGTGATATAAAATTTTTGGAATAAGAAATATATTGCATCATATTTCTAGTACATCAAATTCTTGAGAAGCTTCACATGCAACTTTATTGAAAAATTATGTTGATAAACCTAAATATTTTTTTCATTTCAAACACGTGGTTTTCACAAGAACAAACAAGGCCGGGAAAATTTTAATACATATATTTCCCTTGAACTGTGAACATCAAAGTTTTTCAAAAATCTTTGTATATCAGGTCGATTGCCAAAACTACTGAATTGTTTGTTTCGGTATAGAATACGCGATAACTACCCAATATTTTATAGTCAAATAAGGCGGTTTGCATCCTATGGACTATACTTCAACACATGTGAACAAAATCGAGATATCTGATTTTTCATTCCTCTAGTGTTCAAAACGCAACAACAAAACCCACAGAGGTGTTAAAATGTATTGCAACATTAAATCATCGACGTATTTAATACCTCGAAGTCAGCAACGATACTCGCAATTCCACTGTACGGCCAAGGCTTTTTCTGATGACCTAGTTTATCCAGAGGAGGAAGATATGGTATGGGAGGTCTAGCAGCAAATAATGCCAAAAGATTTGACGGTAAAAACGCGGTCATTTCGACTATAAAATTAAAATATTCGCAAACTGCCAGTTCCAACGAAATAAGAACACAATAACGAGTGAAGAAGTCAAGAAGTCAGGATTTCTATTGAGTTGGCCCACTGATCTGATAATAGACTGGATATAGCTTCTACAGGTAGCAAAAGTGAAGCCTAATTATAAATGCAAAATTCACTTCCGGTTACCACGGCGAGATACAAATTTCTATAGAAATGTATGGCGGATAACGTTTACAAACATGGATTTTCGAATATTTAAGACCTTTCGCGACTCCTTACTAACCTCAAGTATTAGTCATGGATAAAACAGGTTATGCGAATCGATTTGACATCAAAATAATTCCGATAGCTGTAAAATATCGACGTTAGTGGTGATTTAAAAGTTGTACATGCGAGAATGTATTTTGTCCCATCGTTGCCAATGCAAGATAGTTCACTGCTCGCTTTCCAATTTCTGAGGCATTTATGATCTAGTATACGTTTCAGTTCCTTAGAAATGATGTGAGTTAGTTTTTTATCATTCTTTCTTTATGTTGAGAGATTGTTGACATTTTATTTTTGCTGTAACTTCATTTTTTCATGAGCAAAGTACTATTGATGCTTAAACAAGACAGTTTATTCAGTTTCTTTCGCACTTTATCTTTAGTTTCCATTTCTGTAGTTGTTTTTCTCAAATGGTATAGTCGCACTTTGTGCTTAATTATTCAAAGAAGTATGATTTTCATTGACATTAAAATCTAACAAATGCGTTCTACACACATTAGGACACTTTACTACTGTGAAGGTACCACAGGATTCATCCTGACATTCATCCTGACATTCATCCTTACATTCACCACAGGATTCACCACAACATTCAAAATTAGCATAAAGTGTGAAGTTGACACCACATTCATTTTAATGTTATTAAATAACATCAGTTTCAGAAACAAAATAGAAAAAAACCGTATTTTTTGCTACAAAAAAGCAAAAGATGCACACGTGTTTGGTGCCGTTGTAAAGACCAAGTTATTTAGACAAGGATTATACTATTTTTATTTTGGTCGAAAGTCTTGGAGCAAATCTACAGCCTTTTAAAGACTACTTCCGCTTTTGTCTCTTTACGTTAAATAATTGCGCGATGTTTACAATGCATAAATGTTGACATCTAAAAAGGCCTAATTTTCAAGAAATAAACACGCTGGAAAATACTTGTGTTTGGTAACATCCGAAAGTACGTTTTCTGAGGATTACAAATATGGTTTTATTATCTTGGTCCAAATTCGTGGAGCGAATCTACAGCCTTGCAAAGTCGACTGTGAAGGTACCACAGGATTCAAGATAGTACGGTTTTTATACGGTAAACACGCTACAATTTACTTGTGTTTAGTATCGTCTTAAAGATCTTGTTCTGAGGATTACAAATATGTTTTATTATTTGGTCCAAATTCGGAGCGGTTCTACAGCTTTGGAAAGGTAGAGCATTTTGCGTTAATTAATAGGCAAGTTGTCATGTTGCATTATTTCACTAACGTCTAAATATGCCGGGTGTTGACTAGTTAACACGCTGCAATATACTCGTATTTGGTATCAGATTAAAGATCTTGCTATGAGGATTACAAATATGTTTTATTATTGTGGTCCAAATTCCAGAAGCGGTTCTACAGCTTTGGAAATGTGGAGCATTTTGCGTTAATTAATATTCGCGGTACTTAACTGACATGTTTATATATATCTAATTTTCATGAAGTTAACACGCTACAATTTACTTGTGTTTAGTATCGTCTTAAAGATCTTGTTCTGAGGATTACAAATATGGTTTTATTATTTGGTCCAAATTCCAGAAGCGGTTCTACAGCTTTGGAAAGGTAGAGCATTTTGCGTTAATTAATAGGCAAGTTGTCATGTTGCATTATTTCACTAACGTCTAAACTCTAAATATGCCGGGTGTTGAACTAGTTAACACGCTGCAATATACTCGTATTTGGTATCAGATTAAAGATCTTGCCATGAGGATTACAAATATGTCTTTATTATTGTGGCCGAAATTCCAGGAGCGAATCTACAGCTTGAGAAATGTGGAGACGTTTTGCGTTAATTAATATTCGCGGTACTTAACTGACATGTTTATATATATCTAATTTTCATGAAGTTAACACGCTACAATTTACTTGTGTTTAGTATCGTCTTAAAGATCTTGTTCTGAGGATTACAAATATGTTTTATTATTGTGGTCCAAATTCGTGAAGCGGTTCTACAGCTTTGGAAAGGTAGAGCATTTTTGCGTTAATTAATAGGCAAGTTGTCATGTTGCATTATTTCACTAACGTCTAAATATGCCGGGTGTTGAACTAGTTAACACGCTGCAATATACTCGTATTTGGTATCAGATTAAAGATCTTGCTATGAGGATTACAAATATGTCTTTATTATTGTGGCCGAAATTCCAGGAGCGAATCTACAGCTTGAGAAATGTGGAGACTTTTTGCGTTAATTAATATTCGCGGTACTTAACTGACATGTTTATATATATCTAATTTTGATGAAGTTAACACGCTACAATTTACTTGTGTTTAGTATCGTCTTAAAGATCTTGTTCTGAGGATTACAAATATGTTTTATTATCTTGGTCCAAATTCGTGAAGCGGTTCTACAGCTTTGGAAAGGTAGAGCATTTTGCGTTAATTAATAGGCAAGTTGTCATGTTGCATTATTTCACTAACGTCTAAATATGCCGGGTGTTGAACTAGTTAACACGCTGCAATATACTCGTATTTGGTATCAGATTAAAGATCTTGCTATGAGGATTACAAATATGGTTTTATTATTGTGGTCCAAATTCGTTAAGCGGTTCTACAGCTTTGGAAAGTAGAGCATTTTTGCGTTAATTAATATTCGCCGTACTTAACTGACATGTTTATATATATCTAATTTTGATGAAGTTAACACGCTACAATTTACTTGTGTTTAGTATCGTCTTAAAGATCTTGTTCTGAGGATTACAAATATGGTTTTATTATCTTGGTCCAAATTCAGAAGCGGTTCTACAGCTTTGGAAAGGTGGAGCATTTTGCGTTAATTAATAGGCAAGTTGTCATGTTGCATTATTTCACTAACGTCTAAATATGCCGGGTGTTGAACTAGTTAACACGCTGCAATATACTGTATTTGGTATCAGATTAAAGATCTTGTTATGAGGATTACAAATATGTTTTATTATTGTGGTCCAAATTCAGGAGCGAATCTACAGCTTTGGAAAGGTAGAGCATTTTGCGTTAATTAATATTCGCGGTACTTAACTGACATGTTTATATATATCTAATTTTGATGAAGTTAACACGCTACAATTTACTTGTGTTTAGTATCGTCTTAAAGATCTTGTTCTGAGGATTACAAATATGGTTTTATTATTTGGTCCAAATTCCAGAAGCGTCTACAGCTTTGGAAAGGTGGAGCATTTTTGCGTTAATTAATAGGCATGCAGGATTTTGAACTAGTTAACACGCTGTGATAAACTGTGTTTGGTATCAGCTTAGAGATCTTGTTCTGAGGATTACAAATAGGAAGAAAAATGTTTTGTTTGTTGTTTCTTTGAATGGACATATCATATAGCTTATAAACAACATGTAATTACAATAACAGCTCGTAAAGAACATTTTCAACGTTTTAGTTAATAAATTTCCTTAGAACTTAAAACTTACATGCAGTTTATTAAAGAACGAGCCAAACAAAAGCTGGATGTCAGATGGCACAATGGTTTGGGCTTCTTCGTGTATACTTTTTTAGTGCTTCACGAAACAAGGTCGCAATACAACGGGGACCTGAATTTGCCCTCCATCCGGGCGAATTTAATTGATTGATAATGAATAGCTGTTTGTAATAATGATTGGACACAGGAAAGATACTTTTCAAAAATTTTATTTTTTTGGCGATTTTTGAACTTTTTTTCCTCTTTAGTTAAGACTTTCTAACCTCCTTAGTCCCTGCAAAAGATGGTAAGAACAATGTGAGATAACAAAAGAAAATCATATTTATTTTTTGCATTGTTTTGAAATAAGTTTTGTTTTTGATTGATCGAATAGAGTCCGAATCAGAATGTTTTCTTTTATTCTGTGCGAATACAGTTTAAAAGCTTCACTACTTAATTGATGAAGTAACTTTTAATCTTTTTGTTTGATATATGTTTAATGAAAATCGTTCTACCTTGTAAATATATTGATAACAACTTGGCCACGCCCTTGGCCACGCCCTCTTCCACGCCCCCTTCCACGCCAAATTCCGCGACCTCGCCATTGGGGACGACCACGCCGTCCGCCGGGCTCTCCTGGCACCCGCGTCCCTCGACGCGGTTTGGTAGGGCAATCTTCGGGGCCCCACGTCATTGCATGTGTTACATTCTGAAATAATAAAGTAATAAAATCAACATATAATTTGTGCGAACAAGTGTGTCATTAGTTTAAACTCACTTATTTCCTCTGGCTTGTTTTCGACGTCTGCTATAAAGTTGCGAACGATAAAGACGTTAGAGATTTTCCATGCCCAACAAAATACAAAAAAACATGTATTAGAATTGGAAACCTGTTCTCAACCATGCATTTAGATGGTTGTTATAAAAAGCGATAGTGAATTTTACAGTGTTGCGGAACAGCTTTTTATACTATATTCATTGGCGTTCGCTTAACATGAAAACGATCATAAAGATATTCAATTATCATACATGTATAAGTACTATGTTAAGCACAAGTACAAAAAACACTCTTAGTCGATATATTGTACAAATTATGCAACAAACCTTTTCGCTTCTTTCGATTTTCTTCTTCTGATTAAGACGATTCATAAAAAAAGAGATATTTTTTGTAGGTTTGAGTCATCTTTATGCAAATGTATTTAGCTATTAACATTTTTGAAATTTTATATCTATTCCGAAGAACTGGCTCACCTTTACCCCCCCTCTCTCGTTTGTTTTGAGTATCTGGAACAAAGAACACACATTAAACTGATTGGATAACATGCATGTTAATAAACACAATTCTTTTGCGACTATTCTTTAGCATAAGCACGTTTAAGTAAGGTTGATGGTGATGTAATAGAATTGAATCAACTATTGTTGAACATTGTACACTTTGCCATAAAGACAAGTTGAAATATTTCTTTTCACTTAATGCAGAAAACTAAGAAACTTTGCAAAAAATGTTACTTATCGTTTTACCATTTTGTGCTTCTTTTTCGGCCATTTCTAAATAGAAAATAATGTTTATCATTAGTTGTACAGCGTGAACAAACTTATCGTCTTATGCCCAGCGCCGATATCGCACAGTGGCAAATATGCCATGTGCCCCGCGATCCATGCTAAAAGGAAATAACAATGCGTCATGGGGTACCGCAATAAGAAAATGCCTTGGGCACCGACATGTGTAAACGCGGCGATGCTCATGCGTTTATACGAGTAAACGAACGTTCAAGCAGTGACACATTACATAAAAATGGAATCATAAATACAATAAAAAATATCATTATAGTTTCGCCTCCGGAGAAAGGTTAAATATTTATGCTTTAGTACCATGTGATGCAGCGTATTAATGTATAAAACTTTTGGTAGAGAATAAGGCAATCCCAAGCATAAAAACAATCAAAATATGCATATGGTTGTGTTTAAATATATATACTTATTTTACTTTGGGTAAAATTATTGAAACAATCTAGTTGCTATAAAGGATTGTTCACTTACATTTTCCGTACACACTTCTAAATATCTGTTATTACCACGGGCACACTCAACAAAAGTGAATGAGAATTATGACGCGTGATATTAACACTGGCTTCTTCATTTGTATCTCTTTTGATGGACCAATCGCATTACTACTTCTTTATGATGGACCAATCGCATTCCTAATTAGTGAACTAAAGAGAAAAGGCGGCAAAGCAAAGGCCACTCCTTTGAAGATTTCCAACTGCCGGAGAAAATTTCAGTTGTGTTGTTTGGTAGGGAAGTTACAGAATTTTTGGTAAGAGTTTCGTCTTCTACAAAAACATTAAAATGATCTCTGAACCGATCCGAGTAGGCTGTTGCTGATATTTTGTAGAAAAACTAACAAAAGGTAGCATGTTTTATTTTTTTTTGCTGATAAAAAGTAATTTCCAAAGTCAGCATACTTGACATCGACTGGAAAATGCAACAGCTTTGTGACGTATTTTGTTATTCAACGATGACGCACAGAATGTCGGTTTGGCAGATTTCAAATCAAAAAAATTTTAATATTGTTTTTGCAGTGATTGAAGAAACAAAACACGATAAACTGATTTTATTTCTATTGTTTGTGTCGAAGAACGATTAACCCTTGGTGCACGCATTTGCATGCGTCATCGTCATTCATCGACAAACTAGCTATGAAACAAAAGACAATGTCAGCTGTCAAGTTTGAAGACATTGTAAATCACTAAAAAAATAATATGTTGCAAAAAAATAAACATATTCATAGGTTCGAAATTTAAATAATGTAGGAGAATATAATAATAGCACGAAAAATCAAAACTCCAGAATAGTGTTGGTGTTTTAAAGTTATTTGTCAATAAAACATTACAATTTGAGAAACACGACGATTTTTAAGCGCAAACATGTTTCGACATCAGAACGACATCTTTCGATGACAAACATGTTTCGACATCAGAATGACATCTTTATTGTAAAATGGTCAGGGTTAACACGTGATTTTAATATATTCCTTCATGGTTGGTGAGTGCGTACGATTTTTATGCACGAGTAGAAGAGGGATTGAAAACAAACGAGTGAGCGTAGCGAACGAGCGCCAATAAAAATCGTACAAATGAAGCGTGCAAGTGTCCATTTTGATCTCGTACATACAACATACAATTTCGCAACTGGTACTAATATATTCTAGGATGTCCTTACTTTCTGACTTTTGTTGCCCTTCAACGTCTTTTAACAAGTTAATAAAGCTATCTTACCAGAAAGATAGCTTTATTAGACATAGACAGAAAGAGACAGAGCTCTAATTTGCTTTTAAAAGTAGCTGACCTCACTCCTATCGTAGAAATGACTCATCATAGTGAAGTACAAATACAAAATAGCGTAACTATACGATGCTTCGACTTTGAATCTAATCTATTTCATTCTTTTCTATTCTTTAAAGAATGTGACTGTTTCGCCCAATATCAGGGCTCATCAGCATGCCTAGGAACCACACCGCGATAGGGTGGTGCAATTCCGACATGGACAGCCGCATTTTCTCGTGATATAATACGAGACGTCTCTCAGCGCATTAGAGCAGCCAGTTGCGTTGTCTGACATTTCTGCAGCAACGGCGCATTAGAGCAGCCAGTTGCGTCTGACATTTCTGCAGCAACGGCGCATTAGAGCAGCCAGTTGCGTTGTCTGACATTTCTGCAGCAACGGCGCATTAGAGCAGCCAGTTGCGTTGTCTGACATTTCTGCAGCAACGGCGCATTAGAGCAGCCAGTTGCGTTGTCTGACATTTCTGCAGCAACGGCGCATTAGAGCAGCCAGTTGCGTTGTCATTTCTGCAGCAACGGCGCATTAGAGCAGCCAGTTGCGTTGTTCATTTCTGCAGCAACGGCGCATTAGAGCAGCCAGTTGCGTTGTTGACATTTCTGCAGCAACGGCGCATTTCTGCAGCAACGGCGCATTAGAGCAGCCAGTTGTGCATCAACAATGAATTTATCGGTATATGCAAGACATACAGTTAGTTTCTTCATTAATTGATTTTTCATAAAGCGGTAACAATACATGTGTTTGTGAGATGTGTTTGCTCGTCGTTGAAAAGAACATAACAAACGTACTCACCACAATTATGATATTCCAATGTAAAGCTATAAGTTTGATTTAATGAAACAATGTTATCATTGTGTTTCCATTGGAACTGTCTAGGTATTTCCCCATTACAAAACATTTAAGAGTTACGAGACGACCGACATTTTGCTTGTAAGACGTTGGTATTTGACAACATCTAACGTCACGAGGAAATATTGTTTTTGAAATGAAAAGGAGTTCATTAATGTACAGCTCATTAGCAATTATTGGTCGCAATGCGTTTATCAAAAAAATATTTGGACTATGATCATATAAGCCCATTCTATAACGAGCATAAGCCAGGACAAAACACCACAGCTAATGGCATCATTCTGCGCTGGAAATTTGTCTTCCCAATGCGCCGAGAATTCCGACACGAAATTTTTGTTTGCTATTTCGATACATTGACCTCTCATTCGGTAAAGTTCTTTGAAGTAAAATTTTATATTATCTACCAATGTTAGATATTGACTGCCTCTTGCCATTGGGTCGTACAAATAAATGCAACATTCAACAGTGTTGATTATTGCCATACACCAGTGACTACCTTGTCCAACATTTATAGGAATTGCAATCACGTCGTAAAGATGAAACAAAACACCTCGGTAGTGCCTCCTTAACATTTCATGAAAGCGCTCTTTATTGTTCGGCTGGCGTACGGATCGAAGTTTTGTCATGAATTGTGTCGTGAATGCAAAACTACGCAATCCAAACTTTTCCGTATTTTTTGTTAGCAATAGAAGGTAACAATTTATAACCTCATCATTGAGCCATCCAGGGTTGGAAAGAACATATGTATCGTTTGAAAAACCCTTTTCCAAAGGTTCAAGAGTTTTGATATCTTTTCCCAGAAGATTGTATCCGTGTGTTTTAAATGAAGCAACACGTTCATTTCTTACATTGAGATCACAAAGTGAGTGAAATACCTTGCACATTTTCTTATATTTTTGTGCAATTGACGGAGGCAAACTATCGACCTTTGATTGGACATCTCTACTATTCGTTTGTGCGGTTGGCGCACTTGTGCTATGAACAGAGCCCACAAAATTTGGTGAGCTTGTACTTCGGGGTATGTCCTCATTGTCACTATCATCGCTGAGTTGGGTTGACGACTGTCGTTCGTCTCCATAACCTTTGTCACTAAAATTTTCAGCGGAGTAAAAGGCTATGTACGCATAAGTTGACACCTTTGCTTCCACTTTTGTGATATATCAGAGACGAATGTATCGTCGACCTCATAAACTCTTCCATCTTTGAATATTACAGCTGTGTAATGGCCAACATCAATACCTGAGCCGTAATGCAATGCACATGAGGATAATTGATAAGTGGCCGATGCACCATCATTCTGCAATGTTAATTTTAATGGCAGTGGAACTCTCTGACAACTCTTCGTAACTCCTGATCCATTTGAAACAAATCTTTTGAAACCAAGGCATAAAATTTTAGGCAGTGTTTTGAGTTCACCTATGCGAACGTGA